GAGTCGGGGGAGGCTGTGCCAGAAGAACCTTCCAACGTGCTTAGGGACTGAGAAGGACAAGCACACCAGACACTGCTGCCGGGCAAGCACTATCTGGCCACACAGAAGAGAACCAGGTACAATTCTGCCCTTGCAGGGCTCATGATCAGAGAACACCTAGCCACTGCTTTTCACTGAGTCCACCTGTCATCTTAGGGATGCTCACCCATTCAAGCCATCACCATAACAACAAACACATATAACTTTTTGCCAAGAGATCCCTGCCTTGGCATCTTGCTGATTTCCAGGTTCTAAGTCCTTGTTCCACGATGTCATCAACACGGCTTCCTAGATTCCGGATCCATGTCCTGCTCCCAAGATACGACTCAGCACCTCTGGACTCCTGGAGGTCCCTACGCCATCTCCACCTTCTTCTAAGTGCCAGTGTTTCATAGTTTACTAATCTCAAACTCAGCTCCCTCCTACTCTCCCTGCCCAGCCCCAGGACAATTTGAAGCCGAATTTCTGGAAATGATCATGCCTGATTCATCTTAGGACCACCAGGTAATAGTACCATACCTATTTATTTGTGCTACAGATAGCAAGTTAGAAACATCTATCAAAATACCCAGATATTGCTTTCTAATAAAAGAAATCAGGGCTCTTTGGAGAAGTGGTTGATTCCAGGGCCAGAGTAAGTATAATATAAGACGAGTTTGCAGCATCTTATGATGCTAGAAAGCAAGGACATGCTAGAAAAAAAGATATGGGGCAGCATGTTGAAAATATCAAGGAGCCAACTTGAAAAAAGGTCAAAGCTAGAAATAGAGGAGCAAAACAACGAATAAGGATAGTACTGGAAGATAACCTAAAGTACAAAATAAGTACCCTGTGACCATACTGATATCAATAAATACTGAATAAAGGAGGAACAAGGGAAGATTTTTCCTTTCAGAAGAATTCCAACTGATAAACATAGAAGGAGGAAGGGAGATGGGAAATCTCCCCTGGACCATCATAGGAATAACTGAGTCAGTCATGTTCCACCAATTAAAATTAGTGGGAGAAGTTGAAGGAGAAATAAGATATTTGCATAATCTTAAAGTATCCCTCCCCCAATAAATTAATTACAAAGAGAAAAACACTAACTTTACCATGAAGAAATCTGGCAGACAGCACCTTAACCAAGCGATCAAGGTTAACATCTCCAGCAATAAGACATGCTGGCATCATGGACCCCCTGATATTCTGCACTGAAGAGGACACATCACTTCCGTGGTATTCTTCCCCAAAATGTAAAACCTTAATCCAATCATGAGAAAATATCAGACAACCCAGACTGGGGACCATTCTACAAAATCACAAGTCAGTCTTCTTCCAAAGTGCCAAGGTCATGAACCACAGGGGAGACTGCTGAAGATTGGAGCAGATGACAACTGAATGCCACATGGGATCCTGAGTTACATCCTAGAGCTGAAAAACGATAGTAATGTGAACACTGGTGAAATCCAAATAAATCCTGTAATTTAGTTAAGCGTCGCACTGAGGTTAATTTCTTAGTTTTGATGCTTCTCCTGTGGATGGGTAATATGTTAACACTAGAAGGAGGAGAGGGAAGGCAGACAGCAACTCTGTTCTCTCTCTGCAACCGCTCTAAGTCTAAAATTAGGTCAAAATGAAAAAGTTAAAATAAACCCTGATCAATGACCTATGGGTTTAAGTATTAGGACACATAGTGAAATATAAAGACGATCTGGAAGATCTCCGGAGTGCTACCAAGGCAGGGAACGGCATGACACAGAGAGAAGGATTGTGGGGTCAGAGAAGCTAAGAAAATGATGAAGATCTGAGCTAAGGTGGCAGCAGTGGGCTTGGAGAACAGTGGGGAAAGGTCCACTTACCCGCACTGAGGGAGGCAGGCACTTTTCTAAGGGCTTCCTGCAGACTGACTGACTGAGGAATGGGACGGGTTTGATACATTACACATGGGAGGTACAGTTGTCAACATTTGTGGCTCACAGAATAGGGACGAAGGAGAAGGAGCAATCCAGGAGGACTCCCGGGTTTCTAATCTGAGCAACTGACGGCGGTTGTAACACCATTCATCAGAGTGGCAGACAGAACGGATTTGGTGGGGAGGAGGAACATAAGCTCCGTTTGGGGCAGGTTGGTTACAAGGTGCCTGTGTGACATCCAGGTGGGCAAGTTCGAAAGGCAATTAAAAGATAACCATACAGCTTCAAAGGGAAAGCCATTCCAGAGATATAGATCTGAAAGCGATGATCATATAGGTGACGGTTGAACACATAGGTGACGGTTGAAACGGTAGGAGTTGATAAAATCACCCAGGACAAGGAAAGAAAGAGAGGAGGGCCAAGGAGGGAAGAATGAGAAATGCCCACCATCATGGAAAGAAGAGGAGCATGTGAAGACGACTCAGAAGCAGGTGTCAGAGAACCAGGAGGGCACGAGATCACAGAGATCACTGGGCTGGGAAGGAGGATGAGACGCTGAGTAGGGTCAAGCGCCACAGCATCAGGGAAAGTCAGAATTGACATTGGTGACCTTGGAAGGAAAAGCGTGGAAAGACGGGAGCGGCACCCAGCCCATACCTTGAAGGGAATGATTAGGGGTGGGGAAGCAGATATGTGAGTGCCAAACATTCTTTTGAGAAACTTAAGCTGGGGAAGAAGGAAGACAGAAAAACAGCCAGAGGGGAACTCAAGGTCAGAGGGGTCACCTGAAACTCTTGCCTCTAGACTGATTCCGCCCACGAGTTCCTGATGTATATTTTTAACTGCAAACTAATTCTCTCCACTGGGGATCCTGCTTGTAGCTTTTGAATGTGTGTGTCTAGCCCTAGACCCACAAAGGGTCTAAATTTGAGTTGACAAAAGAAGCATCACCTCTGTTGTGAATCACCTTTTCAACATGAAGGTTGAGATCTGACATGATCTAATCTGACTGTACTTGACGCCTGACTCGGGGCTGCATCACGTGATGCTGGGCAGTTTGCAACTCTTCCCAGAGGCAAGATTACCTCAGGGCCATGTTCAGGGACTCCATGGCCACGTCCTACCCATTTGGAGATCATTTCAGATCCTGACTAGGAATTTGCTGGAGGAGTTAAAAGCTGCGGTCACTAGGAGTGATGCTCAAGGAGTCTCAAGGCTTTTCCACATCTACCTGTTCCCTGAGCGTTTTCATTTCCTCTCCGTGTTCAGTTGCATTTACAAGCCTTTAAATATTAACACTCATTAGTATTGATGTTTGAGTACTAAATCAGGTTAGCTTCCTAGAAATTACTAGATTTTATATCATTCATTCATGCATTCAATACACATTGAATCAATATACATTGATTAAGTGCTAGGCAACCTGCTAGGCCTGGAGAAGAGTGGATAGATAAATAAGACATGGGTCCTGCCCTTGAGACGCCCACACACATTTATATAAACAACTTGGAGTGTCTCATAATAAAGGCATGTATGTGTATTATGTGTGTGCGTGTGTGTGTGACTCTCTCTGCGGGAAAACAGAAGGGCACATGGCTATCACTTCTAGGTGTGATTGTATTGTCAGGATATGAGAGGGAGGCACATTCAATTGATTCTAGAGATTGAAAGGATGAGAAATAATGAATTGGCTTGGTGGATAAAGGAGGAGGGGCCTCAGAGGCAGAAGGACGAGCAGGGGCAAAAGGACAGACGTGTTAATATGCACGGCCTACGTAATAATGTAGCAATCGTATTCACAAAAAATAATAAAATCAACAACGCTGAAAAGGATGAAAGACATTTATTGGGCACTCACCGCATCAGGCACTATTCTAAGCGCTTTCCATTGCATGAGCCACATGTGTGAGAGTGGCGGGAGGTGAGGCTGAGAAGACGGCCAGGGGTCGGGTGATGAAATGTCTCGAATGTTGTGCTAAGGGGCCTGGACTCTGGCCCACAGGTAGGGGAGAGCAAGTACTGGCAAGATTAGACTTAGGATTTAAATAGGTTCCTGCAGCTGTGTGGGGAATGGATTGGAGGAGGTGAGATAGGGGGCAGAGGGGTGAGTCCGAAAGTTATTTCAATAATTCAGTCAAGTGAAAATGGTAGGGAGGATGGATGCAGAGAGAATTTGGAAGCAAGAAGAAATGGGCCTCAGAGACCTCCCACAGATCTGGGGGTGGTGAGGAAGAAGGGAAGGGGTTCCATGGACTCAGAGGGGAAGAAACATCTTTAGGAAAGTGGATGAGCTCAGAGTGAGGTGCCCGCAGGTGGACAGCTAAGAACGAGAGTCGAGCACTTGGGGCAGAGGTTTGCACAAGAGAGAAGATGGGCAACAGTGAGGGGACGTCCAAATTCATTCAAGATAAGATAGTGCCATTTGACACTAAGATCACCCTGAATTCATCTTTCTCCCCGCCGCGGTCTTACCTTTTCACATGAACAGGTGTGAACTGGTGCAGGGTTATATCCCTTTCAAAGCAACACACCTAGAGACACACACAGAGGCCCGACATCACAGAGGCAACACTCCCACATACTTGCACCCAACCTAGAGAGGGATACACAGAGGCACACACACATATACACAGGCCCATTGGTCACAGAGGGGTACACACACAAGTCCACAGATCACAGAGGTGCACACACATGCACGCATCTCTCCCCCCACCCCCCCCACATGTAAATATGCCTACGAGGCCACCAGTTTACAATTTTCTGGAGAGGCTGAGGCGTGTCTTCCCACAGACAGTGAAGTCTATTCATCTACCCAGCTCATGACCCTTGACTGCTAGGGGGAGCGGCCCCGTCTGGTCATCAAGACCCCCTTTGCAATCACGCATATAAGACAGATTCCAAGAGGACATCTACAGGCTCCACTGTGTGTCATCCCCGACTCTACACATTCAGATTCCGCTCCGGGTGATCTGCTGTGAATTGAGAACACTCCTTCTCAGCAGGAGCAGGTGGTCCATCCGCCAGCAGATTAGAGACATCCACTGCAACATTCAACTCTCCTCTCACCAAAAAGCTTCTGCAGGACTTGGCCGTCATATAAGTCTTCAGCCAGGTCTTTCACAATGATTCTTTCTCCAACCAGCACATCATTAATCCAGTCAATTAATACCTACAGAGAGAGAGAATAAGAGAAGAGACATGGAGTATTTTCTTATTCACCAGCTTTCTTATCCTGGACAATTAGAATCTAAATAAACTTCAGATTTGGAAAGCAGCAGAATTATCCACATGACTTACTATGGGGACAAGCAGCTGTGAGCGTGAGCCCCAACGGTCCTGTCAATTTTCAGATGCAAACCCTTCTAGTGCTGGTGGCACCAGCGTCCCAGCTAATATCTTCTGGCCCCCTACCATTCCTTACTCTAACGGCCAGCAACACTCACACAGTGTTTGTCTGAGTGGCTTTGTACCAGGTTGAAACCCCAGCTTCACCCACCACCTGGTTTGTGTACCTCTGTTATCTGTGGACCTCTGTAAGTATGTGTATGTGTATGTGTGTATGCATGTATGTGTGTGTGTGTGTGTGTGCGTGTGTGTGTGGGTGGGTGTGGACCTCCGTGATCTATGAATCTAAGGCAAGCTCATTATCTGCTCTGAGCCTCTGATTCCGCACCTCTAAACTGAGGATGAAAATACCTCCCACATTAGGTAGCAGAAAAGAATTGTATACAACAAGGGCCAAACGCTCAGTAAAGGCAGACCTTACTAATAAATAAAGCACTCTCCCATGGATGACATTTGGCCAGGTGGTTACTGTGACCCCTCTGTTCAGGAGGGGAAATCTAACACAGAAGTAAACATATATCCGCCCAAGGTCCCAGAGCTCAGTGGACAGAGACAGGAATGGAACTCTCGTCCACCTCACTGCAAAGCTCACGTTCTCCCCCTGCGCCAGGCTCCCTCTCCGGGGCCAGCGCCGTATCCTCGGCTGTATCTTTGCAGCGGTCATTACTGAGGGCCCTCTGTGGTCAGGCACGGGCAGAGGCAGTCCACGTGAGGGCCATTTAGTCAATCCACACCACACCCCTGAGAGGCAGGGAGCATTCGTTCCGTTTTTCAGGCACAGAACTGAGGCCTGCCCAAGTTAAGTCCATCACCTTTCTTCTTAATTTTTCCTCTTTTTTGTTTAAGATATTATTTATATAAAGTAAAATTAACCAATTTTAAGTACATAGTTTGGTAAAGTTTGGTCATTGTACACAGTCATGTAACCACCACCACAATCGAGATACAGAACAGTTCCCTCAGCCCAAGAAGGTTCCTTTGGTCCCTTGGTACTCGATCCCCTCCCCTGACCACAGGCCTCAGGCAACCACTACAGTTTTCCCTCTTTGACGATTTCATATAAGTGGACTCACAAGGAACATTGCCTTTTGTGTTTGACTTCTTTGACTTAGCATAAAGAGATTGCCTTATAACAGAGGCAGTAGCCAGGCAGGGTTTCCATCCCTGGGTGGAGCTTGGGGCCTTCACAGAACATTGTTCTACAGTCCTAAGGCAGCTTCCTTCCTTCCTTCCTCCCTCCCTCCATTCCTCCCCTCCTTTCCTCTCTCCCTCCTTCCTCCTTTCTTCCCTCTCTCCCTCCATCTATCCATCACCCATCCATCCACCCAGCATTTATTTATGGTGAGGAAGATGGTCCCTGTACTAACATCCATGCCAATCTTCCTCTACTTTGTATATGGAACACTGCCACAGCACGGTCTGATGAGCGGTGTGTAGGTCCGCATCTGGGATCTGAACCTGTGAATCCTGGGCTGCCGAAGTGGAGGGTATGAACTTAATCACTATGCCACCGGGCCAGCCCCCAGCATTCATTAGTACCTGCTGTATGTCACACATTGTGCTGGATCCTGGGGGTACAATGATGAAAAAAAGAGACAGTCTTTAAGCCCAAGCAGCTCCCCATGTAGTGAAGGAGACAGCGGAGTATATGAGTATATGAATATTGTACTATCACGTGGTGACTACAAAGATGGAACTAAGTATAGGGACCACAGCAGCACACAGAGGGGCTCAGCGACCGCATGGGCTTTAGACAAGGCTTCCTGGAGACCGTGACCCGCTCTGATTTCAGGTGGAAGGTAGGTAGAGGCATCTGGTCAGAGGGGCTGCCTGGACAAACGCAGGGTCGGGGGGAGTGCCCGAAGCAGGCACGGTGTGCACAGGAGTCACCACGAGCAGGTCCAGAGTCCCTGCGTTGCCAGGCAGGAGACGGCCTGAGGTTGACGAGGCAGCTAGAGCACAGAGACCCCAAATACCACCCCCCGGAGTGTTGCTTCAACCCGCAGGTGATAGGAAACTACACACAAGTTTTGAGCAGGAAAACGATATATTCAGATTTACACTGTGAATGAGTCGCTCTGGCAGCCAGTGCCTTTTTGTCTTGTTTTAAGACCAACTTGGAGAAGTTGAGGAAAAACACAGGACAGGGACTCAGAAGGAGTTTGAAATGAACATTTTTTTGAGGGGTGGCCACATGCTAGCCCCTGTGCCAGATACATTATGCACAACATTTCATTTAATCTCATTTATTTCTGTTTGAATGGCCTTTCTAAGACTCACTTTCCTCATCTGTAAAATGGGAATGATACTAAATCCTACTTCACAGGATGCTTTTGAGCATCCTTGAGGAAAGCAGTGAACTGTCAGATCCTGGCAAAATGAGCTTCTTTTCACTGACTTCCTCTGGCGCTTAGGATGAACACCATTCGTTGGGCATTTGTCATGTCCCACTTCTGTTCCATTTTAGATGTCCACCTACTGGACCATGAGCCATCTGTGGGCAGGGACTTCCGTGACTTTTTACTCTCTCTGCAGTGGCTCGCATGGTGCCTGCACAGGCCAGGTGATCTACAGATGACCGGTAAATCGGGGGGGGGGGGGCCCTCCTGCTTTCCTCTTACCTTCATTAGTTCTTGAAGTTTTGGGTCGCTGCGGGAGTTTGGATCCACCATGGTTCGCACTTCATTCTCCTCTTTAAAAAGAAAAGGAAGTCAGTGGGGTGGCTCCACTTGAAGGCTTAGACTACCCCAGAGAACAGGAGACCCAGTTACCTAGCATCGTGTCCTCAGGGTCCAGCTCGAAGGGGATTGGGCTGAGGGGCAGGTTGATGGCATTCATGCCCTCCTCCTGAAGCTCTGATACTGCAAGAAGAAAGAAGCACGGAGTCACACTGCAGCCTCCAGACAACAGGCGTGGAACTCCCTAACAAACGTGTCTGATACTGATAGCGAGAAATAAAACCACTCAGGCTGGGTGACAGCTGTTACTCAGTCTGCAAGCGATTCCCTGCCTCTCCTGCTGAAAGGACCGAATTGTCCCCTTCATCTCACTCTTCTGGCTGCCACCTCACCTGCTTTCCTCGGAGAAATAGGGAGGTTCCGTTGGAGAAATAGGGAGGTCCTGAAGACACGGAAAGTTGCCTCCTCTCAGAAGCAATCTCAGAATAAACAGAAGGGAGGTGGGCACTGACTCTTTCTTAAGTCTCTGCCTTTTGCCACTGCCACCCATCCTTCAGGGGCTTGCTGTCTGGTGCACAGTGGGGGCCCAATAACTGTTGACTACATGAATGAGGTCACCAAGTTAAGGCTACATTTATCCTGTGAGCCACTTCCATCCTCAGTTCAACCTTCTTCTCTCTTCCCTCCTGATTTGGCTTCCCTAAGTATTTTCTGATTATCCCACCTCCCTCCTTCATCCCACCCCAGCTGCTGCTTGAGAATGCCTCAGTCAGGCCTCTTCCCTTCAGCTCTAATGAGCTGTGGGCCCCAGGGCCAGGCACCTCACCTCTCTAGGCCTGTTTCCTCAGCTAAACATGAAGAGCTCAACTGGAAGACCAGCAAGTTCTTTTCCAATTTTCACATCCTAGAAATCCACAATTCCACTTTCCTCAAGAAAAATAAAAAGAGTTCAATGACCACGAAAGACTTCCTGCCTGCTCCCTTCCATGCACCCATCCCCCAAGTGAAGCCTTAGTAAAAAAAATTCCTCCCACAAAACCAGTTGTGTGACGGACACTTGCTGAGTGCTGACCTTGGATGACCTCTCCTAAAGGCAGTGGCTTAAATCTGCTCACCTCTGTTCAGTTCCAGTTTGGATAATTACTTTTCACCAATTAAGCACAGAAAGACCATTCTCTCTGAAGGCATTGGTCACCAAAAGGTCCTGAAAGAGCTAATATGGCAGCTGCAATCAACCTTAATAAAAGCAATGTCCCATCTTTCCATTTTATTATTTTTTTTATTGACTCTGGCCTCGCTGATTGCCAGCATATACTTGCAAGAACTCTTAAGCACAAGGCAGTCTCTTACAAAGACTCCTTTCATATTGGCAACCTCACTGATGGTTGCAGTTGGCCGGGAACGAGATTGCCTAACAAAGAGAGTGAAACACACTCTACCCTAAGGAGACACAACTTGCATTATGAAGCTGGCATTTCGTCCCGCTGCTGTGGGCCCTGGACATTCATATGGGATAGCAGCCAGTCACCATCTTAAACCTCCAAATTCACAGATATGCACTGCTCTATGTAATTCTCCTCCATAAAATATAACTGAAAAATATAAGCGACAACTTTGAGGCTTAAGGGATTCTGTAAGTATAGGATTGCATTTGCTCTAATGAAGAACAATTGCTTCATTACACTTCTATAATTTCTTCTAATATTCCTCCTAGGACTAGCAGTTTGCTTTCTTTTCCAGGCTGTTTCTCACAAAGAAGCAAGATTTCCATTACTTAACAAGCACTGCCGGCAAGCAATGGGCAGTGGAAATAAAGTCAGGCTTACATGTGGGAGCAGGGCTGGCCTTTCTGGCTAGTGGAGCAACTTGCTCCTGCCCAGGACCTTCTCTATCCACATGCTCCCCCAGGAAATTGGATGGCATTGTCCTAGGTGATCTGATATATCCAGAGGCTGATGACATCCACACCTAAATCTCCAGCCTTGGCCTGACCCTGAGCTCAGGCTTACTCGATGCCTCCTTCCATGCCTATTAACAGAGATCTGAAATTTACACATCCAAAACAGAACTCTGATGTCTAACACCCTCACTCCACCCATCACAACACTAAAATAAGACCTGTTCTTTCTCTACTCTTATCCTCCTCAGTAAATGGCACCACAATTTATACAATGATTAAGCCAAAATCCGAGGAATCACCCTTAATTTCTCCTTTTGCATCTAACACATTGGTGAGTTTTGTGGGCACCACCTGCAACACAGGACCCGATTCCAACACTGCCTCCCCGTCTCCACCACCATGATCCTGGTTCAGCTGCTGCTATCTTCCACCTGAATAACCAGAACCACCTTCTAAGGGGTCTACTGCTTTCTCAAGCACCCCGCTTCCCCCTCCTTCCCCTAATGCAGTCAGAACGTTCCATAAAGGTGTAAACAGGATCATACACTCTCCTGCATTAAGCTTTCCTCTGGCTTCCCTCAAACTCACAATAAACTCTCTATAAGACCCTCTCATCAGCCCTGCCGCCCTCCCCTGTTTTATTATCTTCATAGCACTCATCATAATTCTTGTTTATATGTCTGTTATCTATCTCCCCCATCAGAATGTAAACTGCGTGCAGGCGGGCACTTTTTCCCATTTGTTCGCTATTAGATCCCAAAGAGGAGTCAGACTGCCCCGATTGGAATCCAGGATCTGCCGCTGACTAGCTGTGCGGCCCTGGGCAAGTTCATCACCCTCCAACCTCGTACACCTCAGTGTCCTTACCTGCAAAATGGGAACGATAATACTGCCTACCTCCTAGGGTTGTTGAGAGGATTAAAGGGTTAATACATGAAAATCACTTAGGAGAGTGCCCAGGATGTGGTAAGCCCTATGTAAATATATGCTATTATGCTATTATTATTATTACTTAAAACAATACCTCATGCATTTTAAGCACTCAAGAACTATTTATCGTGGGGCTGGCCTGGTGATGCAGCAGCTAAATTTGCACGCTCCGCTTCGCTGGCCCAGGGTTTGCCGGTTCGGATCCCAGGGGTGGACCTACACACTGCTTATCAAGCCATATTGTGGCAGGCATCCCATATATAAAGTAGAGGAAGATGGGCATGGGTGTCAGCTCAGGGCCAATCTTCCTCAGCAAAAAAAAGAGGAGGATTGGCGGTGGATATTAGCTGATGTCTAATCTTCCTCAAAAAAAAAAAAGAACTATTTATTGAATAAATGAATAATCAAAACTGTTAAAACCACCCTTCAATTGCACAGGTTATGAGTTGAGGCAGAATCTGCCAAAGTAGTATATAGGATGCAAAGAAGGATTCCAGCTCATCCTTAGGGAGAAAAAATTTACCTTTTGGCCTGACCCTGTGTGCCTGTGCACGTGTGTGCGTGTGTGTTTGTGCTTGTGCACATTTCTGCGGCAGCATTTCCAGCTTACATTTTGTACAGAGAGAAAAGCCGCACCTGTCCCCAGACCTCTGTACAGCCAGGGCCAATTTGTGAATATGGAGATACCTGCATCTTTAAAGTGTGGCTAGAAATGCAACATTCACAGCCAGGACTTCTAAAAGTGGATCTGAACAGGATCTCTTTTTACATGTAGATCACTGTTAAAAATGTTTTCAGATGAAAAATCTCCAGTGAGAAAAACTCCCCTCTGCCCTGCCTCTTTAATTCACTCACAGAGACATAACAAACCCAAGAAGAGAGGCTGAGATATGTTTGCAATTGGAAATGTTTTTTTCAGGAAATGATTTGGTACAGGAACACCATTCCCATCCCATTAACTGCTGACTCCCAGCCAACTGTTTGTAAAAGTGAATATGCAAACTGCGCGGTTCAGGCTGGGCACCGCCCCATGGGGCCACATTAGCGGCCACTTTCCCAAAACAGCCCGACCGCTTTGGAGGTTTCATTTCGATTACACCAAAGCAGGACCCCGCAGAAGCCCCTCGCCAGCCCCTGAGCTCTGCAAGAGAAAGAGCTGCAATTGGATTTTCTCGGCATAGAACACGAAGATGATGTTTATCCTCCAAATCTCCTCTAACAATCTAAAACTAGGTCTGAACGTGCAGCCCTCGGTGTCTCGCAGCGCCGTTAGTCATAACTTAATAAACAGAGGCAATGCCCAGCGGGAGGTCGGGCTTGGGAAAGCAGGGTGATGGCCTCAAGTCCTGAAGCGCTCGCCACGAGAAAGGCGCTCGGGCTTTTCCGGGAATCGCAGTCAGACTCTGGGTCCAGCTGGGCAGCAGAAGACGTACATGGGAGACTGAAGGAGCTGGATTTGAACCTTACTTCCATTGTATCAGCTGTGGAACCTTATGTAAGTGACTTAACCTCCCTGAAATTCAATATAAAACAATGCTCTATAAAACAAGGGTGTAGCTGACACTGCTGGTTTCCTTCCCCTTGTATACTTTTGTCTTTTTCCCTGCTGAAAGAAGCCTCATGCGGTGCCAGTACACACCCCTTCCTCTTATATCTCTAGGTGAGATCCTGATTGGTTTAAGCTAATCATGATAATCTCAAGCCCCTTAGCAGTGACTGGTTCAAGCATTGTCATGTGATACAATTCTGGCCAATGCCATGAGAGGAAATTTCTAGAAGCTTCTAGAAAAGTCTTCCTCCGTTTTAAAGAGAGGCCCAAGAAAGAGAAGGTATCTCTCTCCTTCTAACCATTATTGCACCAGGATGTTATGTCTGGATTTGCTGCAGACATTTTGTAGCCATGAGGTGAGTAAGCCCAAAGAAGAAGCTAATAAGCTAAGGTTAGCAGAGAAGAAAGATAGAAAGAAGGGGGTTCTTGCTGATACTGTTAAGCCACCATCCCTAGTGCCACCTTAACTCTATGTATCTTGTTATAAGAGATATAATAAGTTCCCTCATTGTTTAAGCCAGTTGAGTTGGCCTTTTCTGGAGCTTGGAGCCTGAACTCCCTAAATGATACATAGGACACTAAGATTATTAAGTTGATGGATGAATACAGTAGGTCTGCAATGAATGGTAATTTTCTTTTCCTTTTTTCCATGAGAAACAGAATAGCTGCAGGCATCTCTTACACTCCAGAGTACATACAGGGACTCAGAGAACACCAGGCAGAAAACAAGCATAAAGAGAAGAATGCAGAGAAGTTTCTAAGAGTACAAAAGGGTCCATTTATGCAAGGCAAGTAATTTCGTTCATTCAACCAATAAACACTACTGGGCACTTCCTGTGAAGCAGCCCCTGCGCCAGCAGTGGGGATAAGGGTTTGGGGATTTGACATGGGTCTGCCTCAATCTGCTCACAGGTGGTGAGAGAGGCAGGCAGATAAACACAATGTGCAACACGCTGCACTCGGGTGGGAGACGTGTAACGAGCAGGCTGTGGGAGCTCAGGTGGAAGGAACAAGGCTAACTTTAGATGGAGAAGACTGGGAAGGATTCCCAGAAAGGGGGATATTTGAGCTGGACTTTGAAAAATCTAAATTTTTATCCAACACAGGTGCCCCACAAAAGGCACATCTTGTGTAAAAACAGCAAGGTGTGGACAAACAGGGCAGGTGTTGAGAGAATGGTGATTATGTCTGAGCACCGGGAACGCTGGGGGCACGGAGGGGAAATGGGGGGAAGGAATAGAGAAGCAAATAAGTAGGTGGGGTCTGGAGTATCAAGGGTTGCAAATTCATTTGTCGCCAGCACTCCCAGGACCATGCTCCCTGTGCCTACAGACGAAAACAAGCCAACCAAACAGACCAGGAAGGGCAAGAGAATAGCCAGGATGTCTCTCTCCTTCAGTGCAAGTGGGCCCCAGTGAGACATTTGGACTGCTCTAGAGCCTTATCGGGATAACTAATTTCTGGTCCTCTTGAAAGCTACTAAAGCTCCCTAAATTTCTAAATGGCTCAAGGGGCCCCCCAGAAGTTTTTGGCAGCTAGAGAAAACTACATTGTCTGCTCAGCAAATCCCAACAATCTTCCTCTATATGAAAAATCAACCTGAAACAACAGCTACAAAAATCTACAGCTAACATCACACTTAACGGCGAGAAACTAGATGTTTTCACCCTGAAACTGGGAACAAGGCAAAGATGTCTCCTCTCACCCCCCTATTCAAAATTCCACTAAAAATCCTACCTAGTATAATAATATAAGAGAAGGAGATAAAAGGTATACAGATTGGGAAGGAAGAAATAAAACCATCTTTGTAGATGACATGATTTTCTATGTAAAAAATCCCAAAGAATTGACCAAAACAAAACAGAACAAAAACCCAAACACTTAGAATAAGCAATTATAACAAGGTTACAGGATACAAGGTTAATATACAAATGTCAATTGTTTTCCTATATACCAGCAATAAATGATTGGAATTAGAAATTAAAAACGCAGTATTATTTACAGTAGCACTCAAAAATGCAATAGTTAGATATAAATCTAACAAAATATGTACAGGATTGATGTGCAGAAAATTACAAAACTCTGATGAAAGAAATCAAAGAAGATCTAGATAAATAGAGAGATACTCAGTGTTCATGGATAGGAAGACATAATATTATTAAAACGTTAATTCTTCCCAACTTCATCTATAGCTTCAACGTAACCCCAGCCAAAATTACAGCAAGCTATTTTGTGGATATCGACAAACTCATTCCAAAGTTTACAGAGAAAGGCAAAAGATGCAGAGCAGAAACACAGTATTGAAGAACAACAAAGTTGTAGGACTGACACTACCAGACTTCAGGACTTACTAGAAAGCTACAGTAATCAAGACAGCATGTTACTGGCAAAAGAACAGATCAATGGAACAGAATAGAAAACGCAGAAACAGACCCACACAAATATAGTCAACTGATTTTTCATAAAGGAGCAAAGGCAATTCGACGCAGAAGGGATGGTCTTATCAACAAACGGTGTGAGAACAATTGAGCATCCATACACAAAAAAAATTAATCTATACACAGACCATACACTCTTTACACAATGTAACTCAAAGTGATCACAGACCTAAGTAGAAAACACTTTATACCTAAGTATGAAATTCCTAGAGAAAAACGTAGGAGCAAATCTATGTGATTTAGGGTTTGGCAGTAAGTTTTTACATACAACACCAAAGGGACAATCCCTGAAAGAAAAATTGATAAGTTGGACTTCATTAAAATGTCTACTCTGCAAAAGATATTGTTAAGAGAATGAAAAGATAAGCCATAGACTGGGATAAAATATTTGCAAAATACATATCTGATGAAAGACTTGTATGCAAAATACACAGAGAACACTAAAAACTGAATGATAAGAAAACAAACAACACAATTACAAAATGAACAAGGGACGTGAAGATACGTCACCAAAGATGTACAGATGGGAAATAAGCACATGAAAAGATGTTCAACATCATTTGTCATTAGGGAATGACAAATAGAACAACAACGAGACACTACTACATACTTACTAGAATGGTTAAAACCAAAAAAACTAATAATACCAAATGCTGACAAGGATGTGGAGCAAGAGAAACTCTCATTCACTGCTGGTGACAATGCCAAATGAGATAGCCATTTTGGAAGATAGTTTGGTAGTTTCTTATAAAGCTATAGTCTTACCACATAATCCAGCCATTGTGTTCCTAGGTATTTACCCAGTTGATTTGAAAACATATTTACATAAATCCTGCATATGAATGTTTATAGCAGCTTTATTCATAATTGCCAAAAGCCAGAAGCAACCAAGCTATCTTTCAATAGGCAAATAAACTGTGGTACATATGATGAAATATTATGCATGATAAAAAGAAATTAGCAATAAAGCCATGAAGAGACACAAGGAACTTCAAATGTATAATTCCTAAGTCAAAGAGGCTAGTCTGAAAAGGCTACGTAGTGTATGATTCCAATTATATAATATTTGGAGAAGGTGAAACTATAGAGACAAAAAAATCAGTGGTTGCCAGGAGCTTGGGGGAAAGTTGAACAGGCAAAGTACGGAACAATTTTAAGAGGGTAAAACTGTTCTGTATGACTGCGATGGCGGACACATGATTTTATGCATTTGTCGAACACACAGCACAAGGAGTAAACCTTAATGTATGCAAACTTAAAAAACCATTTTGGAGGCTGGGGAATCCAAGGATGGAATACAGACGTGACAACAGAATCTGACTGTGCAAGAGACAACCTCACTGAAGGAGGTTAAGGGAATAGCGCTGACCTAAATATCACTGGAAATGAGTGAAGTCTGTGAGACCAAAGGAAAAAGAACCGCATGTAAGCACTGTAGACTAGTTGATAAAGTTATTTCCCCTAGGGGTATGGGTTAATAATTCTGATACTGCTATACATGGACAATACTGGAATTGAATAATCAAGTAAATGGATGGTAGATGGTAAAACCAGGTTTCTCACTGTTGGAGTAGAAGTTTACAGATAAGCAAGGGAACCAGGCTGGGATGATCCACATGGGAACAGATTAGAGTTGGAGACATCAGTAAGAACGCATGCTATCTTAATATAGATACCGATGGTTATGTACAGAAATATTTAGACGTGTATATACATGAGTTAGTGCACACACATATATTTTTTTGCTCTATTTGCTGAGAGAGTCTAAAAGAAATGACACTCCAGTAGCAATAAATGGATCTAAGACTCAGATCCTGGTTTCTAGCACCATTCTCCAACAAAGGAACCAGGGCTCCTTGGATAAATGGCTGATTCTAGGACTGGAGAGGAAATACACAAGAGAGGCTGGAAGCAGAAAGTAAGGAAGCTGGAAGAATTTGAGCCACAAAATACATACGGTAGTATTGAATTATAGCCCAAAGCACAAAATAAATATCCATAAATCCATACTGACATAAATGACTGATTCAATTAATAAATGGAGGAGAAGAGACAAATCTTCTTGGTAGAATTCCAAATAATTTATGGATCCGTGCCCTCAAAGGGGGAGAGCACAACCCCCGACTCCTTAAATGTGGGCTTTGCATAGTGACTTCCTTCCAAAGAGTACAATATGAAAAGGGAGAAAAAGAGTAACTTTACAGCGGAGAAAGCTGACAACCACCACCTCGGCCAGGTGACCGTGGTCAACATCACGGTCGTAAGTCACGGGATTTGATGTGATATGAGGAAATAGCACTTGCCTCTGTGCTCTTCCTTCCCCAAACCCACAATCCCAGCCTAATCATGAGAAAAACACGACACATTCCAATAGAGGGGTATCCTAAAAAATACTTGATTAGTACTCCTCCGCACTATCAAGGTGATTCAAAACAAGGATAATCTGAGAAAATGTCACAGCCAAGAGCAGCCTAAGGAAACAAGATGGCTAAGTGTAATGTGGTATCCTACATGGGATCCTGGACCAGAAAAAGGACATTAGGCAAAAACTAAAGAAATCTGAATGACCTAGGGATTTTAGTTAATAATAACATATCTATACTGGTTCATGAATTGTGACAAATGTATCATCCTAATATAAGATGTTAATAAGAGAGGAAACTGGATGTAGGATAAATGGGAACTCTCTGGAGCATCTTTGCAATTTTTCTGTAAATCTAAAACTACTGCAAAAGTAGTCTATTAAAAAACAACTCAACCTAAATTTGCTGTTATTTCCAAATGTATACAGAGTTCACTGGGGGGAAATCCATGATTTTATGGGTTACACATGTTTCCTCCTATCACCAAGGAGACTGTGGTAATTTATCCCACATTCGCTGAGTCCTGTGGAAGCATCTATAAAGCAGGGAAAGCGCAAGAACCTTTTCAAAGTCCCGTAGCACAAGCTGTACTCAAGAACCCAAGTTTCCAGGAAGAAAGTACAAAAAAATTTTTTCTCGTTGTTTGTTTTTTTCCAGGGCTGAAATGAGAAGATAGAGCTCCCTCATAACTTCGGGACTACTGGCTGGGTCATTTCTGCTTTCCCAAGAGGGGGTCTGTCCCACTAGTCCAACCATCACTGAAGGTACAGTGGTCTCTTTAATGCTTTTCTCCAGAGCTGCTCTGGAAATCAGATCTATCCATGGTCCCCAGTGGGGGTCTTTACACCGTGGGCTTTTGCATTAGTTTTCTATTGCTGTTGTAACAAGTTACCACACACTTGGTGACTGGAAAAAACACCAATTTATTATGCTCGTGGTTCTATAGGTTAGAAGTCCAACATGGCGTCACTGGGCTAAAACCAAGGCACTGGCAGGGCAGCGTTCCTTTCTGGAAGCTCTAGAGGAGAATCTCTTTTCTTGCCTTTCCCAGCTTCTAGAGGCCACCTGCAGTCCTTGGCTTGTGGCCCCTTCCTCCATCTTCAAAGCCAGCAATGGGGGTCGGGGGGGGGGGGCAGATTCCTTCTCACATTGCATCACTCTGACCTCCTCTTCCGCCTCCCCCTTCTACTTTTAAGGACCCTATGATTACACTGGGTCCACCAGAATAATCCAGGACAATCTCTCTATTTTAGGGTTGGCTGATGAGCAACCAAAATTCCACCTGAACCTGAACTTCACCTTGCCATGCAAGTCAACAAATTCACAGAGTCCAGGGATCGGGGTGCGGACCTCTGGCAGGAGAGGTCATTATTCTGCCTACAAGAGCTTTCTTGGTTAAGGGGACAAGTTCTGTTCTTAATACTCACTCTTTCCTACAACATGTGGGTTCACTTTTCCTCTCTGTGAGATTGCCAAAAGAAAATGCAAAATCCCAACCCCCCCCACCCCAGCCCTTAAACCAGAGGAGTTTTATTACTTTTAACTAAAAGGATACTTGTTTCAGCAGACATAATACAAAGCATCAGGTAAACATGGGAGCCAGCTCGTGGAGGCCTCAACAGATTGTCAGGCTCTCACCACGCTCCTCTCTACCTGACACAGCTGTTTAGGCACCAGGGTCTGACATCTGGCCCTGGGAGCCCAGCCAAAAAGCGGAATTAGAGGATGGTGTCGTGATGGGAGCTGACAGGGGCTCCATAGTCCCGAGTCTTATGGTTTCCACCAGTGTCTTCACGTTGGTCAGTTTTATAGTCTCTGCAGAGTTGGAAGGCTGCCAAGCAAATGGCCCCTGGACATTTATTCATTGTTCAGCCAAGCATGTGATACAGCTGCCCTCCAACTGCAAGGAAGCACGGAGGCAGAGAGAGAGATGCCCCATTGGCGGGCTTCAGGCAGTCAGATCTATGTGAGCTGAAAGATGGGTGGGGGGCTCAAGGAAGCCACGGGAATTTAATGTAAATACTGCACAGGCACCGAGGGTCAAGGGGAAACAGCATGTCACTGCTCTCTGTCTTCTGCCACGCCATGCCCCATTATCTCTTTAGACTGAGAACCAGAACCATTTCCTTGGTTTTAAAGGTCTGCTCCTACTTAAGCAGAAGGTGGTATAGATGTGCTATCCTGGGAAAAGACCAAGCCACTGTGTGTGCGAGTGCATCCGTGTGTGTTCATACACCCTGAGCACTCCTAACAGCCTTGGGAAGACCACAGAACTTCATCTGGGACACTGGCTAATTGCATATGAAGTGTGGGTACCGTGAGCAACCCAGGGCAGCCAGCGTGGAAGCGGCACTACTGATCTCTTTCATTCGTAAAAATGTGCGGGCATCTCTGGTGCCAGGGGCTGGGCCACGAGCTATGAATACAAAGATACACGAGTACTTCTGCTGGGGCCAGTTGGCTCCTGAAGGGCAGCTACCTTTGGTGGCCCTCAGAGCCCAGACAATGCCTGGCACTTGATAAGCACTCAGTGGGTGCTGGAGGATGCTTTAGCTGGAGAGGGAGGAGAAAGACACGCACACGAAGTACAATGCAGAATGACAAGGGCCCCACGCAGTTCTGAACCACGTCCTGAGTGCAGAGCACTCTTCTGCAGGGGAGGGAGCAAATGAGGAGTGAGTGGGCGATGCAGACGCCACAGGAGGCCAGGAGGGCCCCAGGCACCCCGTGCAGCCTCTCCATCTCACCTGCTTTTGTCTCTGTGTGTCACCTGAGTCAAGTGTCCTTGTTCCATTTTCTACGGCTCTTTGAATTTCATGTCTAGATCCTTCTTACTTATTAATCCTGAACAGCCAGACATTTCTTATTCAGTGGCTCAATGCGGCTTAAAAAGTGCCACAAAACTACGAGTCCACTTGAATTCCCAAGTGGTGGCCTCTGTTGAAACAAGAGCCCTGGGAGTGGCCGGTGAGAGAACACGGCATTGTGTTGGACCAGTTCTCGTGGGCAGTTTCTAGGTTTGTCTGAAGGGCAGTCGGTGGCGTACCCTGAAGGAGAACAGTTCGTGGAAACTCCCTCTGGAGGGAACAATGATGATGATGGTGAGAGAACACACACTCACACTCCACTTCCTTTCTACCAGGCCCTTAGATGCAGCATTTTTTTTTACATATATTAACTCATTTAATCTTGCCAACAATCTAATGAGTAGATACTATTGTAATCCCCATTTTACAGGTGAGGAGAATGAGGCCCAGAGAGGTTATGTCACCTGACTAAGGCCACACGAGTAGAAAGTGAACCCAGATTTGATCCCAGGCCAGCTGGCTCCAGGGTTCACATCCTTAACACTATACTATACATTGTCCCAGTTTTATGAAAGGGCTTTTATTTCTTATATGAATATGTCTAGAACATGGTCACTTCTGTGTTCCCATGTAAGGCCAGGAGAAAGTTTATTAGGGAAAAATCTTGCATATGCTAAGCCCTAGAGGTTGCCTGGTCAGTCTATGGAGGCTCAGACTCTGTGAGAACAGATTAAAACAAAGTGATATTTGAGCAGTACTTTTGTTTGTTGTAAGTACTGGGTTAATTTAAAAGAAATGGCTAGTGGCTGGCCTGGTGGCGTAGTGGTTAAGTTTGCACATTCTGCTTTGGAGGTCCAGGGTTCACTGGTTCGGATCCTGGGTGTGGACCTACACACCGCTTGTCAAGCCATGCTGTGGCAGGTGTCCCACATAAAAGGAGAGGAAGATGGGCACAGATGTTCGCTCAGGGCCAGTCTTCCTCAGCAAAAAGAGGAGGATTTGGGGGGCTGGCTCCATGGCCGAATGGTTAAGTTCGCGCGCTCCACTGCAGGCGGCCCAGTGTTTCGTTGGTTCGAATCCTGGGCGCGGACATGGCACTGCTCATCAAACCACGCTGAGGCAGCATCCCACCTACCACAACTAGAAGGACCCACAACGAAGAATGTACAAATATGTACTGGGGGGTTTTGGGGAGAAAAAGGAAAAAAATAAAATCTTTAAAAAAAAACGAGGAGGATTGGCAGCAGATGTTAGATCAGGGCTAATCTTCCTCAAAAAACAAAAAAAAAGAAATGGCTAGGGGGCTGGCTCCATGGCCAAGTGGTTAAGTTCATGTGCTCTGCTTTGGCAGCCCAGGGTTCAGTTGTTTGGATCCTGAGCACAGACCTACACACAGCTCATCAAGCCATGCTGTGGTGGCATCCCACACAGAAGAACTAGAATGACCTACAACCAGGATAGACAACTATGTACTGGGACTTTGGGGAGAAAAAAAAAAGAGGAAGATTGGCAACAGACGTTAGCTCAGGGTAAATCTTCCTCACCAAAAAGAAAAAAAAATGCATAAAAGAAATGGCTATAAAAGAAAAACATGCTCATTTAAGAGAACTTTGAAAACATTAAAAAAAAACTAAGAAAATAATCCTACTGCTTAGAGAAAAACTGTTGACATGGTATATTTTCTTACCTGCTTTCCTTTGCTTTACACACATACACACATTAACATGCTGGGTACACATAGTTCTATAGGCTGCTTTCATCACACCACATAATCTCATTACCTTTCCTTATGCCATCAAAAGAATCACTTTAAATGTCTTCCTTAATCTCCGTTGAAGGTACACACCATACATTACTGAACCATCCCATAACTGTTGGACATTTAGGTGGTTTCCAATCTTGGGGGGTGGCTGAGTCTGGAAGGTTGAGTCATTCGCCAGCCATGAAGGGTGAGCGGGTGCTCAGGCAGCGGGACCAGCAAGAGTAGAATGTGGTGCCTCCGGGGAGCCAGATGCAGGGCCCTAAGTGAGTCTCAGGCCACAGGCTATTCTTCTCACTCTTTCATGGAGGAAGAAGCTGAAGTTCAGAAAAGTTAAGTGACTTCCCTGAAAAGTCCCCTAGAGGATGATCCAGACAGTTCACTATCTCCTTTTCCCAATGTCTTAGTACGGAGCCACTTGAAAGTGGGAAGAAATGCCAGGGAAAGGGGTGAGGGGCAAGGAGAATGACACAGAGACCCAGGAAGAGCCCCCAAAGGGGGCATGCATTACTGAGCCGGCTCCCTGTGGGCCACTGAGGCTTGCCCCAAGGGGGTTCTCTGAGGAACTATGGAGACTGTCTCCGCGGACTGCCCCCTTAGCTGAGGTTACCCCAAGGGTGCTGCCTCTCCACACCCTCAGGCTGCACTGGGTGTTGGTTGAGGGGCTTCAGAAGCTAGAGCTCTGGGACAGGACAGTGGAGGTGCCAGGTTAAGGCAGGACCCTGCTGGGTGTGCCAAACTGTCTACCACAGCCAGGCTGAAACAAGAGGTAGCCGGGGGTTGTGATGTGCAGTGCAAAAACATCTGCTATGCTCCCCCAGAAATCTGGGGGCCAGGGTCCTCTGTCTCCTCTCCCCAGGAGAGAAATCCCAGGAGACTGGGTAGGACTTAAGAGGGTACATTTTTAGGAAAAGATTGGGAGGGGAACACACTCTTCTTCTCCAAGGAAGAAGCAAACAACAATGGACAGTCTGCAGAATCCTATCTTCACACGATGACAAGAGGCTGGCGCTGTTCAAAATAAACGTTTCCTTTGTCCCGACTCTGCTGTGCCCACAATGGAGACTCAGAGACGAGCAGGACACAAGTCCCGCCCCTGCCCCTGCCCAGGTCTAGGATGAGAGCATGCCAAGTAATGCTGGTGGGCAGGCGGCTTTGATCAGAGCACGACAGCATCCTGAGGAAACGTCTGGGGCAGGGAAGGGATGCCCCTTGTGCTGAGCTCCTGCCACAGGCCAGGCCCTGCATGGAGAGTTTCCATGCATTATTGCATCCCCACAATCCTTCTGGAGAAGACAAGCCTTCTTCTTGGGGACAGAGCTGAAGTTCTGGCACTAGTTCATTCATCATCACACCATCATGATCACGGGGCTGAGTGAGGCAAGTCTACGGCTCCTTCATCTGATGGAGTGGGGCCTTGTAAAATGAGCTCATTCCCTTCCTCCCACCCTTAAGCACTTATTGAGCACCTGCTGTATGCCATACACTGTTCTAGGAAAGAAGAAACCCTTGCCCTAGGAGCTCACAGTCACGTACGCTCAGTCTCAGTGGGCTGAGGGCTGACATAGGCATGGTTCCAGGTGACAAAGGGAGCAGCAGGCTGGCCTTGCATTGCCAGGAGGGACCAGGGAGGGCTTCATGGAGAAGGCAGTGCCAGACCCTGTGTGGCTAGGTCTTTGTTTTGCCCTCCATCTCACTTACTACCATGTGTAATTAGACATCTGTGTGCATATCTGAAGAACACCTGTCTCCTCCATTATTCTGAGCACTCCAAGAGGACCGAGGCCTTGCCCACCACTGCGCTGCCAGCACCTGACATGCAATAACTGCTTAACGCATATTTTCTGAATGAATGAATGATCTGTATGGCAGCACTGGTCCCTGAGCAGCCCTCCCTTGCAGCAGAGTGCCACAGCCAAACAAACAGCTTCACCTCCTACATCAGAGCCAGACATTAATCTTGGGTGGGTCCGGGCTTTACGAAGAGGAGGATACGGAACTGGAGGAAGCAATGGAGGGAGCAGAGAGGGCACACAGGTGCTGGTTCTGAGCGTGAGGGTCTGAGACATTCACTTGGAAGCATTTTTGCTCGTCACTTGGACCTCCTCAGCATTAATGATGAAGTCTTGTCCCAAACTGGAAATCTGTGGACATCTCACTAGAAGTGGTAAAATGCTGCCCGTCATTGGGCATCACAAGGGCCATTGCAGCTCCCTGTTTTTTTCCTAAACCAACAATCCATGTTGACAGCAAATCTGTACAGAGAACCCATTAAAAGAAATTGCAGTAAATCGGAGATGCTTTAACTGTCTGGCGTTCTGCTGATTGCATGCCTGACACTTTCACTGTGGCTTCTTTCTGTACAACCTTCCATTTGAGTCAATTCCCCGGATAATTACTGAGCCTTGACTACGTGCAAGGCAATGCACTGGGAGCCTCATTCCGGTTGCGCCTTCCAGGCCCAGAGCATAATTTAACTTATAGGCAGAAATAAACACGCACAACAGAAGCATAGAGTGACAGAGCCACAAGAAAGTGTATACACTATTTCAAAGAAGATAACATTTTACTCAAGTGAGCAAGAGGGAGAGCTGGTACCACGCACTCATTGCTCTGTTTAAATGTGCATTCAGCAGCATTGCTGAGCAACTTTCCTGGGCCAGGGTCAAACGGATGAGTAAAACCCGGCTCCAGAGTACAGCACAGCACCCTGTGGGAGCCAACGCAGTATCACTGAACTCCTCCTCAAGGAGATGCTTCACTGGTTTCTTAAAGGAGACGTTTACAAGGTGAGGAGGGAGTGGGGGGCACACAACAGAGCAGGAGACATGAGGACAGGCACGTTTTCGGGAAGATTGCTGGAAAGTAATGTGTTTGTAGGGTGTTGTTAGGGAGTTAAGCCCAGGGCCAGAACAGACAGAGGGTGCATTTAATTCTGAAATCAATGGGGAGCCACTGAAGGATAAGAAACGCAGAGTTTTGCAAGTGTGCAGGACAGCTGGGAAAAGGTTCCCTATTGGACCCCTCTAAGCAGAAGTCTTCCTGGGACGCATGGACCAGGATAAGGCAGTCTCAGCTGCCTGGCTGGGTGCTGGCGGAAAGCGGACCTTGGATTAATCCCAGCTCTGCCTCTTACTTAACTTTTCTTCCTCTCTAAAATGGGGATGATAATACATAGCTCACAGGTTTGTAACGAAGCATCGATGATAAAACACATACAAAATGCCCAAGCATAGTAGGACATGCCGCAGTAAGCGTTCAGCAACATTGGTCTACTTCTCCCCACCTTTGCTCAGTGTGTGCGTAGTGACACGGGTGCCCTGGGGGAGACACAGGGACCACTCAGAGAAGATCTAATGAAACAAGAATGACTTTGGCCAGCCAACAGAGCTCAAAAACAAAGTTGGAGGAGACTTTAAGAAATTATGATCTATCCCCTTGCCTTGGGTCTTAAACAGACGAAGAGAGGATAGTGAAAGGAGTAGAAAAAGGCCGCTGAAATGCTTTACAATGCGGAAGGACATTCTGGAGCAAGTGAAACGACCCAGGCGGGTTGGAGAAGGAATATTTTATGGGTGTTATGCAGACTTGGGGAAAGGTGAAGTCTGTATGGTGATGACACGGAGGTGACGGCTGTGGTGGTTTTCAGGGGTGGTGGTGCTACTGATAGTGGTGAGTGCATTTTGGATGAATTTTCAGAGGTGGAAACAAATGGTACTCAATACCCACAGCACCCGGATTGTGGCCTCTAAATTATAATGCCATTTCCCACTAAAAGGAATCAGGGCTCCTGGGAGAAATGGCTGATTCTAGATCAGAGGCAGTGAGCCTGGAACATTTTGTTGCCAGAAACCAATAAATTATGAATATCTATTAGGTGAGTCGTATCAAAGAGGCTTCCACTGGCCAAAGGAAAATTTGAGCACCCATAAGAATAAGAACTGCAATAGATTGAAACATCAAATATATTTAAATCCTTGAGTTAATAATGACGCTAG